ATAACATCGATGTTAAAACTTTGGCGTAAAGCGTTTCGTGTAAACGTAGTAATAGACGATTGGGTGCACGCATAAGGGTACGTTTCCACTGAGCACGTCACGACGTCACGCGTCGCGTCGTCCACCGTGTCACGACGCGACGCGAAAAAGAGAAGTTTATAATATTATAATAAAATTGTATTGATTTTATTTCGTTGCAATAACACAATATAGATTAATATAGATTATAATATAGACAATATAGATTATAATATAAAATAGTAATACTACATATATCAGTGAAAACATTTATATTCATTTATATAAGTATGAATAAGCCACTAAACCTAATTAAAATTATTTCTATATTTTCTATTAGATGTTATCTATTAATTGATATATTTCTAATATATTTATTTATTTGACATTCGATATTTTCGATATTCTTGAGCCGAGAATATTGATCTTGGAAAAGTAATATTGTCTCGTATCGAAATTTATTAAATCAATATTGTCTTGATATCGTCTTGATTTCGAGACAAGACAAGACAAGAATCTTGATGTCTCGAATATTGCGTGCATCACTAATTATTTATGCACCCTAATAAAGTCACGCAATTTATTACCACTGTAATACGACACTCTCAAATGACTGTTGTTTAATCTGTTGATCTTCTCAGTAATACCTCTCACGAAAGGCACGGTGAACCATGTGGGTTGCACTACATCTTGACTATGATCATCCGTGACTCTTCTTTTATTTCGAGCCATAATAATATTCTTTAAACGGCTATTAATATTATCAAATATAAATTTTAATGGATAATCATTCTCCAATAAGACCTTAATTATAAAACAAAAATTATCAAAATGAAATTTAGAATTCGAAAGTAAAATCACTCTATCAACCAATCCAATCACCGTACCTCTCTTGTGAGAAACTGGATGCTGTGACCGAAAATTCGAATATCTACCTGAGAATGTCGGCTTATGGTACCAATTAAACTCTATCAAATCATTATTCCTAATAACTGTAACATCCAAAAAATTTAATCTGTTTCCACCCACCTCCATAGTGAACCAAAGTCTAGGATGCTGAGAGTTAAAAATGTCAAGAATATGATTAACCAACGAAACTGGTGCTGCCAAAATAATATCGTCAACATATCTATAATAATAGGGTATCTGAAAATTAATCAAAGATAAAGGTCTATCCTCCAATTTCCGCATAACCAGATCCGCGATGACCGAGGACAACGGAGAACCCATAGGAGTACCATAATTCTGCTTATACATAACTCCATCAAAAACAAAATAGGTGGAATGTAATATATAAAATACCGCTTTAATGAAATCCTCTTCTGGTAAGCAACAATTTTTTGAGATAAATTGTCAGCTATTTTTAACACAATCCCTAGCATAATCAATGGGAATATTAGTAAGAAGGCTAACCACATCAAGTGACATTAACTGAAATTCCTTATTCAGCCGTTTTCCATCTAATTTTTTAACAAGCTTAAAACTATTTTCTATATGACTGCTGGCTATAGGAATAGTGTTCCTAATAATGCCTTGTAAAAACACTGCTAATGAATATAATGGACTATTCAACGAAGAAACTAGTATACGAAAAAAGCCATCCTGTTTATGTATTTTCGGGAGAGCGTAAGCCCTGGGGAGCACACCGTCACTACACGACAACCGTCTATATGTGGATTGGGATATATATTCTTTTTTCTTCCAGTCTGTCAATAGAATACGTAAGTTCATTGTAATTTTTCTTGTTGGATCCTTCTTAATAACCTCATATGTACTTTTATCACAGTATATACAGTAGCGCAACTCTCCTGATTTTGTGAAGCCTAAAATGAAGTGCGCATACGCGGCCGAGGCGCGTAACCAATCAGGGCACTGTATTCTATCTCACTTCTTCTTTCTATTGTCGGTGTCTGTCAGTCCCATTGAAATGTCCACATAAGGCATTTAAAGGACCATTTGACGGAAAGTGGCGGGAACGTGACGAATTTTATGTGAGAAACAGTGAGAATAGTGCTACGTGTGATAAAGTGGTAAGTGATACGTGTTTAATTTTAATAATTATTCAGTGTATTCAGACGTGTTTAAGAAAGTGTAAAAAAACAGAGAACGTAGACCGAGTTAGCTTTACGGAGAATAGGTTATCTGTACAAAAATAGTACAGATTTCAGATTGTCTTGAAGCACTTTGATCTTAGCTTTCTGTTACAGATATTTGGAGAGATTTTAAAAGGCGAAAAAAATGTGTGCTCAAAAATCAAGCGGATGGTGTGTCGTAAAGGA